AAAGTAATGTTCGAATTTCATTCGTTCGGATTATTACGTATGGTTACATATAACCTATTCATTGACGAACATAGGCGTGCGCAGCCTCCGGTTTCAGGGGCAGCAAGAGATTAATTCGGCCCATTTTTCAAATTCGCCATTAAAACCAGCCCATAGTTTTACTTTTTTTACTATTGGATATCAAAATTAAAATTGTATTGGTTATTTGTTTTTTTGGATAAAAGGTTGTACCGTAAGGTACTAAGCTACTAAAGGTGTACTTTTCTAGTTTTCTATAAGCCCATATAAAATATTTATCTATAGTTTATCAAAACAAAAAAAATCCTTTGTGGAAGTATAATTTTACCGAGGCCCATCATTTAATATTTGCCGGCCCCGGTGGCCCCAAAGAAAGTCCAGGGGCAGCATATGCTGCCTCTGCTGCCCCCGTGCGCACGCCTATGTTGACGAATATACTAAAAAATAATTTGTGCTTGTAAACTAAAATCATATTGTTTTTACGTTTGTCGTTATATAACATGTATTACATTTATGTCGTGTAAATGTGTAATAAAGTCATTGATCAGATTGAGTGAAATCGAACATTATATTACAAGACTAGACCATATGCATCTATTATATTCTTATATAGGTACCTGTTTAGGCTGGAATTTGATTTTATGATGAAATGATAGCGATAAAGCAGAAATATAAAGCTATATTGTATTGAAAAATAATGGAAATACCCCCCAAAGTTCAAACTAAAAACAATTGACATACATTAATCACTCCACTAAAAATCAAAAATGGATATCTTAAAAGATCTTAAAAACGTCTCAAGTATGTTATTTCGTTCATCTTTGAGTTCTATTTGATAATATGAAGTGAGTGCAATGTTTAAGTGTCGTTCGTAAATTATAAACAAGAACAGATATCTGAGAGGCTACTGTATAATATTATTTCCTAACACGCTGATCTGTTTAGTTAACTGAATTTTTGGTATTTTCTACCGGCCAATTCTGTTGGTTTAAGGACTGCAGGTATTAATGTTATTTACAAATATTTTACATATACATAAACTACCTATACCTGTATATTGAGTTTTTATTCTTAAATAAGTTTCCATTTTATGTTTAGGATTGTAAATAATGCTCAGGTGAATACGACAGTGAAGGATTCAAGGATCTAATATTATTATACCAATAATATAATATATACTTAATATATGTATGTAATAGGAAACATGTGTATGTTTGTATATAACATGATATAATATAAGTATGTATCTATTATTTATTAATAATCATGATAAAAAAAAAATAGAACAAAATCAATTTTTAAACATGTATTTCATTTATTTATACAACTATGCCTTAAAATTAACCATTAATATTGACTAAATTCCATCGAATTTTTATATATATATAATATATTATACTAATGTGATACAATTGATCACCACATTATAATATAAGCTTACGTGTCTAATCATTTTTAAATAATATTTAAATATATAATAATAATGTTCTTATATTATACAACGTTATAATTAGGTATGTTAAATTTTAAAATATGGTGCACCGGAATATTTCCCATATGACTAGCTTCACCGTTGGTTATGTATAATATTATGTTTTCGCCAACAATAACTAGGTACTACATTTTTTTTTGTTTTTTTACAAATTGTATTAATTTTAACATTAATAATAGCCGTGTGAAATTATATTTTAATTAATTAAATTTTCTTTAAAAAAATCAACTTCGATATGTTCATACATCGTAGTTCTGTTTTAAAAATTGTTAAGTACACAAAACACGTCATATTTTATTCATCCTGCGCGTTAGTATTATATTATTATTTACAATATTATAGTCGAAAAATAATATGAAATCTGTCAGATTACCGAGTATAATTATTATTGTTTATTATTATTATCGTTATCGTAGGTAACACATCAATATAACAATAGAATTAAACATGGATGAACGTCAATGATATCGATTTTTTTGCTTTTTTTTTTACTTAATTTTTTTATATATCAAAATATACATCTATTATATTCTTATTTTTATTTTTTATTCACTTTTATGTAATTTACAAGGCACACCAGATTGAACATAATATATTAATACATTTATTTTTATTTTGTACATTTAGCTTTGTTTTTTTATCATGGAAGTATATTATGTTAATATTATATGGTACAGGTATTTTATATAGTTGATTGGGCCGGAGTGGAGGTGGCGGGGTTCAAACACCCTTTTTTTTTTTTTTTAAATCGATTAAATACCTACTATTCAATAATATAATATAATATTATCGCTTACGTAAGGGGACATTTCACACACTTATTACATTATTATTATTTATTGACATAATATGGACATTTCGCCCACGGTTCACACAAGACTAGTATAAACCACGGTAAAAAATTGTTAATTTTGTTCTACGAAAAAACAAATTCGATTTATTTACCCCGCTTTTAGAAAAATACTATACAATACTACTACATTTAAAAATGGAATTACAATTTTCATCTGGTCGACATCGCTCTACGAAAACGCTAGAAATAAACACTCATAATATTATTTAACTGGCTCTAAGTGTAAAAAAACAATCTTCAGTCTTTTTTTACATACATATATAAAAATTAGAGTTTTATCCATTGTAAGTGTGTGTTACATAGAGTAAAAAAATGAACTACAAGCTTGATTGTTATACATAATATCATATAATATACGGGAAGAAAATAAGAAATATTATACAATATGATGAGACGGTGACATTTTATTATTCATATTATTCATATTATTTCTAATCTATAAATGCTCAAAATAGAAAATAAAATTCCTGTAATTTCTTTTTTAAACGTAAGCTCGTATATTTATAAAACAATTTACTGATGAGTTTTAACGAGGCTACCCGGAAAGGAGTGGTTCTGTTTGTATAATATATAATCTGGAAAATGTCTGCCTCTGGCTATTTTATTTATATAAATCGAGAAAAATGTTCGTAAATAATTGTCTTTATAAAAATTGATTACTTTACCTTGTGCTTGGTTAATAGATTTGACGTTAAATATCACCTTAGAAATATTAAACATGTATAAAATAAACCTATTTATAATAATATATTTATGTATTATATGACATAAAAATACGTTTATACATTATACAAATGTATAGATACCTGACAATAATATTAGGTTAACTAATTAAACATAATATATAATAATATTTTCTCTTAAAATTAAAATTGATTAATAAACTTATTGTACACATGACTAGAGATGCGTGGCTGTTATTAAAATTATGATATAAATTCTTTATAATAATATAATATACTAACCTAAAAATATGTAAAACAAAAAATAAAATTACATTATAGACTAGGTATATATAATATATATAAATATTATATTCGTTATCGATAATTCTTTAAATAAATATATATACGATAATAATTATATGGATAAAAATAAAAACGTATTAATTATAATATCATAATATAATAGTACATAATCGTATTTTATACGTTAAAAAAGTTATTTAGTTGTTTCAATTTTTTTTTTTAATATATTTAATAAAACAATAACCACTTAATATTTTAATAATTAGATGGCTATTTTAATATATAATATGTATTATTATGATATTTATCTTATAATATAAGTTATAGTTTAGATACTTCATTCTTTTCCGCGTATAATATGTTATAGGTATACCCACCAATCAGCAGGTTTTCTACTAATTTAAACAATTTTACCCACGGGGTTTCTTGCACATAATTTAATTATTTGCACTTTTGCTTTGGGATAGTTAGTTTATCAAATATATCACATTTAAACTGCCCAATATTTTCAATGTTTGGCACAAAATGTATTTTACTGAACCCATTTATAATCATTAAAATAATAACTAGGTAAAATCCTTTAATGTTCCGACATTTAATTGCCCAAAAATAATTGTCTAGAATTAACGTGATGATAACTACTACGATTTCCGATCGCTATAAAATAAATTAAAATCTAAAATATTAAACAAACAATAATTTGTATACACAAATAAAATAAATAATCGAAAAAAAATATATAATAAAATTGAATAAAATAAAATTGAACTAAACAAAATAATAATACATAATTTATGCGCTCGAGATGCGATTGCACGGTCGTAACCTGTATATAATATCATTGTATAAGAATAATAATAATAATTGTAATAATAATTATAATATTATATTATATACAGGCTCGTATAATATTCGTATAGGTAAATCAGGTAAGTATTGTTACAATATTTTGCGTCGGTTACGATAATAAATTGGTAACGGTCGGTATCGATGTATAAAATGTAATTTCAAACAGCCGCGTTTGTAGGTTTCGATTTTTTTTCCGAATGGTGAAGAAGATCGATTGATCGAAAAACACAAACATAGTACATTAATACGTGGCCGATTATCATATTCATCACTTGTATATAGTACTTAGTATATTATTATATACAATAGTAAAATAAGTGATCGACACCATCGTCCACAAACCAAATATGGACGAAAAGCTTAAGTGCGCGCGTTTCAGTTAATTTTTAATTCACATATTATACCGCGGGCATTAACCACGACGACGGCCACTACCTAAATACTACATGACAGTTTATATTTTTACAATAATTATTATCTATATAATATAATATACTTATAGTCTAAGGTTTTTATTATTATTTATTATTAAATAATAATAAAATTTTTTTGGTAAGCTGTGGACAATTTCGTTTTTGACAACGATATAGTTTTTTTTTCTTTTTTTTTTTCTATATATTATATTATTTTACAATTAATATTAGTGTTATGTTATTTATAATAATCGAACGTACTCCTAAGTTTTATTTAATAAATTTTTTTTTTTTTTTGTTTTTGTTTGCCTGTCGACGACGACGACGACGACACACTACCGATGTCCCTGACTCTGAAAAATTCGTAATCTAGGACGGAGGGCACGGGCTGCTTTGAATTGACAATGCTACTGTAACCTTGCTTCCTGCAGCGACGCCGCTTGTTGGGCTGCGGCTGCGGTGTACGGAGACAGGCCGGTGAAAGCGCTGGCCGAGCTTGCCGCCGTCGGCAGACCGGCAGTGCTGCTTGGCAGTGCAGCGTAGGAGTACGGCGTGCCGTAGTTTGCGACCCCTGCGAACAAAACGAAATATCGTCATTAGACATAATCACTATGAGTACTATAACCGGCAAATATTTGTTACACTATATTATAATGTTTTGTTATTATTGTATACCTCTAAACCGGTAGTGTATATTATATGCGGTGGACAACTCAAAACACGCACGTCACGCGATATTGTAATATATGCCATCAATATGCCAAAAATACGGTCTCGATCGTTTTCTGATCGGTAGGGTAATAAAACACTAAATGTAATAATATAAATAAAATGTAGTAATACGGCAAACAAGTAAGAAAAATCGAATAGAAAAATGCAATTTATTGAACGATAATTTATTTTGTTATAATATGAATATATGATGATATTATTATTTGTCGAAAAGTCTCTCTTTTTTTCTATTTGATATATTTTCCTAAATTCGCATTATACCCGGCCCAGTGGACCCAAAATGTTGGATTTTGAATGATTTCCAAATATATGTCAATATAATGCATGTATTACAGGTAAATCGTATAATATATGTTGCCAAACTATCACAGACAATATCGTTATAAATATATATTTTGATGGCAGTATAATATTGATGAACGTACTACCTACGCTATTCACATCATAAACATAAAGTCTCGCATTACATGCATGGAGATCTCTATTTTTTTTTTTTATCCAAATCAAATTATTTTGAAATTAAATTAAACGATCACCCGTGTATCCACAATTAAACATAAAACAACTATAACACTGTAATATAGGTTGTTGTTTTGTAAAAGGTAAAAAACTATTCACCATTGAACCTACCTACAACCTATTAGATCTTCTGATGTAATCGAGGAGAACTAACTTTTTTTATTATTGTGTGTAATATATAGGTAGATGGTAAGAAATTACATCGAGGAAATTAAACAATATAGATGACAGATAAGGTGTATTACATATTGTTTATAAGAGTTCCTGTGGTAAAAATACTCGAAACTCTAAACTTAACCTAACCTAGAGGCGAGAAGTTGAAGTGAACTAGCAAAGAAAGGTTGGTTTGGGGATGACACTCGGCCGAGATACGGAATATCTGGAGAATACAGAAGGAGAATCGCTCCGTACCTATATACGGCTGGGGATAACCTCAAAGCAACTTTTCCTATATGTCTGAATAAAAAATGTTTTAATTTTCCGGCATTAAGAATTTTTTCTGCGAGGAAAGTCGTTTAGAAGTGTAACTGAACTCACCATTGAGGTTACTGACTGATTCCGTATTGAAATAACACACACCAGATGGGTGTGAAAAACTTGTGCTACGTTACCAAAAATGTATATGGAGAAGGACGGTGGTTATAGGTACAAAACAAGGTAAACAAAGATAATACATTTATTCCGATTTCGATGCAATTTTTGATTCTTCCCAACATGGGAAAATTACACCTGATATAATACTATTGTAAAACAATTAATAATTACCTGCGGCTGCTGATGTGTACGGGTCAAACGATGCAGCCGCCGCAGCTGCGGCGGCGTACTGCGACGGATAGGACGACAGGGCCGCTGCGGCTGCTGCTGCCGCGGCGGCGTTCTGGTACTCGTAGAACTGCGACGTGGCCGCGGCCATTGCCGCGGCGTGCGTTGGGGCAAGTGGCATAACGCCACCGCCACCTAAGTACGCCGCGCTGGCCGCTTGACCGGCTTGGTACAGGTAACTTGGCTGCACCCTGAAACACGGTCGAGGTTGATTAAAAACGTCGCACTCGACAAGTCTATCGGACTACATTATAATATAATAACATGTATCAGACTGCTCTACACGCAAAACGTACTACTACAATTATGATTTTCTTAAAATAATAATTTATTTAAATTGATAATATTATATTGTGTTTATATTTTATTCTTTACGCAAAAACAATTTAACTCCTGTATTACGCAGTCTATGCGTGTCTATTGTGTGTGTGTTCAATTTAACGTAAAAAGTGTACATAAATTCTTACGCACGTAAAATGTCTTAGGGAAAATTGGCATGTCCTAAGCAACGCTCGAGTCCCCAGTATTTCCATCAATTATAATATGCACTTAACGGCCACAGTGTAATTATACTGTCGAGTATCAATTAAAGAAATAAAAAATATTAAATTTGTCAATAATACTTAATATCGTATAGATTGAACACCCAAAATATTGGCATTCCAAATCGATAACACTATTTCAAAAAAGTTATATTATCGTCTTAAAATCTGTTTAATATGTTTCTCAAACTTAAACGACTATTTTTCCGAAAAAGTGATACCAAAAAAAACAAAATTGACATGGCGTAGTCAAATCAAAGCTCCGCTTTATGTTGTAAACATATTTTTGTCCCTTCTTGGTCTTATCCAAGCTAAACTGTTTTTCAGTATAATATCGTAATCAACCCAAAACGGTACTAAAAAGGGACTACTTGTAAGTTACTTTGAATTAATATTTTTGCATAATATACAATTATATTTAAACTGTCTATACCAAACCCCTTAAAAAGCTGGTGTAGTGTGGCCTTTTCAGTATTCATAAGGCGTCGCCTCGAGTTTTAGTGTGATCCCGTGGATTATTTCATCTGTTACACGCGACTGAGATAGAGGCGATGCAGTTATGTGATGTGTATTTAATGGTACAGAGTACATAATCTGTTCAAATTCTAAGCAAAGACGAGAGACGTATACATTTCGACATGAGGGATAAAAAAAATAATTTTTGAGACCATTTAATTTTTGGGAGATGGTGAGTTGACAGAAGTTGCAGAAGTCGTTTTTAAAACGTCGAGCAAATGAGCAATCGACGAGTTTTATAAAATTTATAGGTACCGCATTTATTTATTATGCAAAGGCTACTCAATAGGTACTTTGTCGGTAGATTGTAGTAAAGGTACAATTTTTTCGACCGTAAAAAAATCAGAAATCGTATCAAATGTAAATAAATATTTTATCGCAAATCTAATCTTTGTTATAATATTATTCACTTTAGCCGTTTTTCAATCGGGTATCAATAACCTAATATACTACGAAGTACCTATATAATATTATGTGTATGTGTAATAATGATATATAGTTGAATAGTTTTGAATTGTATTCCCGAAGGATTGAAATGAATAATTAACACAGCGTTTTAAAAGTTATTATACTTATTTGACCTAGTCACCTGCGTGTGTAGTTTGAAAACGTACATAATATTATAACTTTATGCACGTGTTATTATTTATAATTAATCTGACGCTGCACAATGAGGTAGGTATCTAACCTAACCTGTAAACGGCTGTGTGTTCAAAAGAGGGGAAGCATTAGTCGTTTTCATTAGAGAATGTTTGTGTGTAATGTGTTGACTTTTGTCACTAATTTTTTACACAGACTTAATATTATTACACATGAACGACATACGTACCTACTACCTATAATATCACACCATGAAACTAGATACGAAAATGAGCATGTGAACGCATATATTAAAGTGTTTTATCGACTCATATTATAAGTTATACACGTTATATTATATTGTTATAACTTATAAGTTGTAATACTCAGTCGTTTATAAATATTTATTATGCACACTGTTTTGTAAAAAAAAATATTTAAATATTTGCTTATAGTCGAATAATGTGTTGGTTTACGGTTCTACATTATAATATGTGATTATGTTAATATAATATCGTTTCCAATGTACAGGATGGAGGATTTAATATTTTTTTATGCGCTTATCAATTTATTATAATATTATATTAGGTATTTTATGAGTGAACGGGTGCTGCATGTCTTTCGATTCCGAAAATCGTTGTACGGCAAGGGTCGATAGTTTTTGAGAGAAATTATATTTATTTGGTCGTGCGGGCTAACAATGACAAACATTTGACAGAGAATATAATATAATATCATATTATTATGTAATATATATGTTATGAATATATTTTGTTATTGTACATTTTATATACAAGTGGTTTTGTATCATTTTGAGATGAGTACGTGCGGTATACATATTAACGTCATTATTGTTTAAGAGCAGAAAACTATATAATATAGCACAATAAACTTTTCAAGTAGTTTACTTCTTTTTTTAAAATAATTTATTGTACGTACTCTACTAACGAAGTAGAGACATATTAATAATTACCCACCTGCACGTGCATCCGATTAAATTAGAAAAGAATTTAAACAATTACTTTTCTGCGGTATTTAATTAAATCAATTAAAATTATAATTGCCCTTCTTTAAATTAAAACGCGATTTAAATTTGATTCCACAGGTTGTTTTGTTATGCGACCTACACTGCGATCGTAGAGACTTTAAGTTCTTTAGAATGTTTTTACAAAACACTTTGTAGAATCAACGTTCGTTTGAAAAGGTATTACGGGACTTAACGAATACAAATTACAAACATAGCAAATTGAGTTTCAGCGGCTATAGTAAGTACTATCGATTTTAATTTTATTCCCATATACGCGCAGAGATGCGTCCGAAGGTGTAGGTAATAAGTTTTGCGAAACGCATAAAAAACGGCCGCCATATATGCGACGCATGTTTGAAAAGAGTTTTATTTTTTGAATGGCATTTTATTGATTTAACTCGATATGACTAAACATATATAGTTATAGTTTTGTGTCATCTATGAGTGCATTTTTCTACTTGGATAGCCTAGATTTTAAATTATTACCTATAGGTATAATATATAACATTGCATTTAGAAATATGAAGTTAATATTGTGTATAGGACAAAATATTTGGGTCTACGCATATTAATTAATAATTACACGGCGCATAGGTATTATTTCGTACCGGAAATGCGGAAATTCTAGAGGAAATCCATTAGTCATTATCTCATAGTCAATATATTGATTATTATCAATATCGCGTTATGAGTCGGCGTCTGTATTCTAAATAGTTTTAAACGTATAATAAACATCCACATACGTATATTCGATGTCGACGAGTGTTTATAAAGAAAATGATATCCCCCCCCCTTGTTTCAACAATTTATAACTAACAGGTAGGTATAGTGGTTATCAGTCGTTGAAGTATGCGCTATAATAGCGTTGTTCGTTAATAATCGCGAGTATTTAATTTGTTAAAAAGAAAAACTACACTCGTCTTATAAATAGATACGTCACGGAACGTTTAATGTTTCTTCTGCGGGGCTGAGTGGGGTGTACGAGGGGGTAGGGTACAGAGGGGTTTGAAATGCTTGATGAAGCTCAACGACCCCCTCTCGTATCCTTCGCACGCACTACAGTAGTGCACCGCGTTTCGTTATTAATCGTAGTGTGTATATATGGTCTAAAAGTGTATGTGTGTGAACAGTGTACTCGGATCGTTATTTAGTGCCATGCCATTTTTCCCTACTATATAATATGTATACATATTACATATAGTACCTACTCTAGAAAATTAAATAACACGTTCAAATAATAATAATCATATCGCGTTTTACTCCGCGTGAACGTTTCCATTTCGATTGCCGAAGTCGGTCGAAATCGTCATGCGTTTCTATTTTGTCATCATTATATTATATTATACTGATGTTTATTATCGAATGTTGCCGCGGGTAAAAGACGACGTTAAGTTAACAATATTATTATAATAATTTAATGATATATAATCGTGCTAATCATTAATTATTATACATGATATACAGAAACTACGCTATACTGCACTGCTAATGAAAACGTTTACTGTGTTAATTCAATACAATATGATTATAATATATCACAAAATTTTAAAATATAATATAAAAATGAAAATATTATAAACTCAACCTAAAGCATTTTCATATCCGATACTGTATGTAATTGCAGTAATATTATAATTGTGACTCACAAAAGGCACAGGCAATTAACAATTGTGGCGGAAAAAAACCTCCCCGTGATTAAAATAATTCTATAATATGTTCGTAATAATTCGTGTTTTATAATAATATAATATAGGTATGTAAAAGCACAGTAATCAATCGATGCTTCATTTCTAAAAAAATTAAAATTAAAAAAAACAAAATGTAAAACACTGCAAACCAAAAACCCTGCACACCAAACAGGAAATAAATTAAACAACTATTACATATATCATATAATTATACGTGTAAATAATATATATATATAATATGTATGATTCAAACAATATATGGTTTAAATTTTAAAAATATTGCATATGTAAATTTATTTATTCGTACGTTTTGTTTATATATATCATCAAAATAATTATATTTATTTCACCAAAGCCTACGAAAAGCTCTCACCACAACAGCACGCATATTATTATATAGTATATATATATATATATATTTAAATAAAAAGGATCAACACCAAAATGAATTTTAAACGAAAAAACACCTTTTTATAATTATATATAATAACGAGAAAACAATATAACAAATAATATGATGATGATGATGATGATAATGAGTTGGCAATGTAAGAGTAGAACAACGCGTGTGATCGTAATAAATCAATAGAATTATGATAAATTAAATTAATAAAAAAACAGTTTGTGCGTTAAAACGTCACGAAATGTTTTCAAAACGAAAATGAAACTATTGCAGAATATACACAAATACACAATATAGAACGTCCGATATGTAGTAGGTATAGAGTAAAATAATATATGATGATGATTAATGGATGATGATGGATATGATGTAAGGTAGTTACCTATAAAACAATAATAATAATATACTCTAAATATATGTGTAAAGAAACAAAACA